TGCAAAAACAAAATAAAAAAATATACATATTTTTTATTTCTAGGCTATGAGGTTTGTCTGTCAGTTTTTAAGAATTGTTGAAAATCCTGCTGGGTGTGGTGGCTCACGCCTGTAATCCCAGCACTTGGGAGGCTGAGGCAGGAGGATCGTTGCGAGTTCAAGACCAGCCTAGGCTACAAAGTGAGCTCAAGGCCACCTGAACTGCATAGCGAGACCCTGTCTCAAAAAGACCAAAAAAAAAAAAAAAAAAGAAAATCCACCGCCCAAAGTCCTTATATAAAAGTGGTCCCATGCAATTCAAACTTGTGTTGTCTGTGGGCAGACTGTATTCTATAATTCTATATCTACATAGCTTTTGCAAAAAAAAAAAAAAATTTAAATCTGAGATTCTATAACACTGTCCAGGCAAGACAGAGCGTAGGCACGCACCAGCCTCCACCCTGAGCACTTGCTCTATGCTTCAGAGATGAATGATTGCAAAACTTTCTGTGCCAAGCTCTGGCAGGGGCTGAGCGCTAGATGCTCATGGCAAGAGGCCTGGGCACAAGTCCCAGTTCTGTCTCTTCTAGTAATGGCACCTACCTCCTAGGGCTGGTATAAGGATTAACTAAAAAAAAACAAAAACAATTCATGGAAAAAGTTTGGCAATCTCTGTGAATGGTAAGTTCTCAGAAAGCATTAGTCTTTATCATTAGCCATGTGTGACCCATCGGCAATTTGCTTAATCCTTGTCAGCCTCAATTTCCCCATCTATAAAGTGGGGGTAACTAACACCTAATCAGATAATGTATGTAAAATACTCAGCAGAGTACCTGTCATTTACTAAGCCCTCAACAAATGGTATGAAGTATTTCTTTTATTATAACTAATAAATCCCTACTCAGCTTCTCAGCAATTGTCCCAAAGCATCTGGTCTTTGGCTAAAACTCTGGGCTGGGAGAGAGGGCTGGTTTCTTTCACAACATCAGATTCAGTAGTATCAAAAATCAAATAAAAGAAACATCTTTGAGGGGCTGGGGATTTAGCTCAGCGGCACAGCGCCTGCCTGGCAAGCGCAAGGTCGTGAGTTCGATTCCTGGTACCAGAAAAAAAAAAAAGAAACATCTCTGATTGTCTGTTTTGTATTCAGTATTGTCTAGGAGGTGGGAGGAAGACTTGTGCTCTCTGCCTGTATTCACTAAGCGTCTGCTGTCTGCCCCGGACTCTGCAAGATGAAGAGAGCACAGAGATGAGCCAAGCCAGCCCTGGGGAGGGCAGTCAGCTGAGGGAGTCAGATTGTACACAGAGATTACTCAGCCTGCAGGCAGCACGAAGAGGCACCCTTGGGTGAAGGAGAAAGAATGCAGGAAACTCAGTCAAAGGGAAAGGCAAAGAAGCCTTGCAGGGGGAGAAGCTTGGGCCGAGCACCAACTCGAGAGTAAGCAGCCCAGGGAGGTGAGCATAGTTCAGGTGGAGAGAAAGACACACAGCAAAGGCCCACAGGTGGGAGGCAGGATGACTAACCAGAGGATGCACGCAGTCTGATGTGATGGGGGTGTGAAGTCTGGTAGAAGCGGTGGAAGATGGGCCTGGAGTGGCTACCGAGGCCCAGTTATGAGGGCTTTGTCTGTCATGCTGAGGAGTTTGCCCTTGACCTGAGACATGAGGCATAATAAACGGTTAGCTAGGAGCCCAGCATTCTAGGAAGAGCAATATGATATCTGGTAGAAGGTGTCTAGGAGACGGATCTGCTCGGCAGCTGGACAGTCAGTCAGGAGGGGCCTGGGCATCAGACCCAAGACAGCAGTGCCAGAGCACAGAGGGGATGTGATGCTAGCAAAACTCCCTTGGGTGCTGGGGTGGAACACAGGAATACACAAAAAGGTGTGGGCCTCTGTTCCTTCCTCTAAGGACTGAAAAGTCTTGCTGGGGAACAGGAAGTGGAAGCACTGGGTCCAGGTATACCTGTCCTGGGAGGAGACAGGAGCAGGAAAAAGATGGTTTCCTGAGTCCCCTTTTGTATTCTGATCCCTGACTACATTTCCTATCCAAAAGTTAATAAAATTAAAACATAACATAGCACAGGTGGCAAATGCCAAGACAGAAAGGTAAAGCTCCCTGTGAGCTTGGTGAGGGTTTCTAGGCAGAAACAGAGATTCAGAGGAGAGTTACTGTCCCATCCCGGGGGCTGAGCTATGCCAGGGTCAGTCCAAGGCTGCTTGAGCGAGGTGCCTCAGCAGCTCTGGAAGGGTTGCAGCCAAGCTCACACAGACGGCTGCAGAACGGGGGACTGTGCAACAGGGTAGCACTGAATCCAGGGCTGCACCGTTTCTGCTACTCTCCCACTCGAGGAAGAGAGAGGGAGGGCAGGTGGAAACAAAGGCGAGAAACACTGAGTTACTAGCAAGAGTCATCGCGGGACTTACCTCCTGCACAAAGACCGCTCCGGCTGAGTCACCCAGGTCACGCCAACTTCTTCATCCTGGCCCTGCCTCGTGACCCCTAGCAGTGGGGTTTGTCTCTGCTCCTCATATTCCCCCTGGAGAAGGGAAACCAGGGTTAAGTTGAGCTCACCCTAGACATCTACTCTCTCAATATAACCTGGAAGTCTAAAGCTTTCTCTCTGGGACCTGCAGTTCCTCAAGGTACTAACCACATCCTGAAACGAAACGAGACACCTATGATTAGGCTTGGCAGCAGGGGACTCACTGTTTGCTCAGTTTGCGGGCAACAAAGAGGCATGCAATCCAGTGGAAGCCACAGGAGTTTGAGATTAAGGATTCCTGCTCTCTGAATAGGAGGCGATTCCCACAAGTGTGATTAATAAGGGCAGAGAGGTCACCCTGCCACTAGCCTTGGAATAGCCCCTACTATTTGTCAAGTGCAGGGTTTCACAGGACCCCACGTCCTGCCAGTCTCCTGCCCCTCAGGCCTTAACAGCTGGCCTCCAGGGTCCCTGGCCTCATCCACTCATTCCTCTGCTGCTGCTGCTGCTGCTGCTGCTGGGCATTAGATTAGTTCCCAAGTCTTTTCCCCCAACCCATCCTTGGGCTGCCACCTGCAGACTGTCAATGCTGAGGCAATGCCGAAAATCCTCTTCTGGGAAGCCTCCTAGATTGACCAAATGAGACTTGCTTCTCTGGGCCGCCAGCCAGAACGTGAACGTCTCTCATCAGTACAAGGAGCAGATTCGGGGTCTATCTGACCGCTGATTACCACCCACTGTATACGGCATTGTAAAGTCACTTTACAGTGTGGCAAAGCAGCATAAAAAACATTTTTAAACAGAGCAAAATAGGATGGAAAAGGAAATACCAAAGTATAGCACATGTAATATGGGTAGGTATTGTTTTATTAAATTTTCATTTTGGCTATTAGGTATACTTAGAGAGGGTACCAAAAGTCTCAGTGCAGGCTTAAACTTTACTAACTTTAGAAGTATGAATGCTGTAGATTTAACATAAACTATCATGGGAAAGTTTTACATTTCTTTTGAATTTTTTTTTTTTTTTCCCGGTACCGGGAATCAAACTTACAACCTTGCGCTTGCCAGGCAGGTGCTGTGCCACTGAGCTAAATCCCCAGCCCCTGAATTTTGAATAATCAACTTTTACTCTAATATTTATTTCAGTCTCTTGAAGATGACAAACACTGCTTGATACAAAACTGAAACTAAAAATTTATTATGCAAAATCCCTAACACTACCCAGGTGTGGCGGCACACGCCTACAGGCTCAGCTTCTTGGGAAGGTGAGGCAGGAGGATCACAAGTTTGAGGCCAGCCTGGGCAACTTAGTGAGACCTTATCTTAACAAAAGAAATAGAAAGGACTGGGGCTGTAGGTAAGTGTAGAACATGCCTTAGTTTGATCTCCAGTGCCACACCCACCCACCCAAAGCATAAAACTTAATAAAGTAAAAGAAGTGTAAATGATTAAATTTTTCAAATGACTTTTTTTGGTTTACATCTTATAAATTCTGATGCTATTACAAGTATAAATCTGCTCTAAGACTTTGAGGACACACTGTCACACACATGTCCCGATATGCCCTTTAAAATATCTTCTTGCTGGGCGTGGTGGCACACACCTGTAATCCCAGCACTCGGGAGGCTGAGTCCCGAGGATCATTGTGAGTTTGAGGCCAGCCTGGGCTACAAAGTGAGCTCGAGGCCAGCCTGAACTGCATAGCAAGACCCTGCATCAAAAGGATAAAAAAAAAAAAAAATCTTTTCCAGTCATAGAAGTTAAAAAGCCAGTGATATGGTCTAATCCCTCTATTTTATATCCTAACCTCCTCCAGGAAGCCTTCTGAGGTCTATTAGCAGAATTAACTTCTCCCTACCCTTTAGCCTCCTGTTTTTTTTGTTTTGTTTTGTCTTTGTGGGTACCAGGAGTCGAACTCAGGACCTTGCGCTTGCCAGGCAAGTGCTTGTGTGGTCTTCCTGTTTTGTTTTTCCAGTGCTGAGGACCAAATCCAGGGCCTTGTGCATTCTAGGCTGGTATTTTACTGCTGAGCCACACCTCCAGCTCGACCTTCAGTTTTCATTTGAACTTTGCCGTTAGGGCAGGCTACCCTGGTCAGAGGCGTCTCTTCTTCTCCTAGGACCTGAACACCGAGCCTGAAAGGCAGTGTCATTTCACTTTTTATCCCTTGCAAAGTCTAGCAACGGTTTTTGCACACAGTAGGTATTCCATAAACTCTTGTTAAATGAAGTTAGGGTTAAAAGTTAAGCACTGGCTTCACTAAATAATCGTTTTAGAGACAGGATCTCACTAAGGAGCCCTGGCTGGCCTCAAACTTAACGATTGTACTGCATCAGCTTCCTAAGTGCTGGGAATACAGGCGTGTACCATGCACTTGCTACAAGTATCTGAGTTCTGTTCTGCTATTACGCATTAGCTGGCTGTCTTCACTAGTTCTGAGTACAGTTCCCTCATTTTATGGGTGAGGTTAGCTTGAAGTGATTTCACTGGTGACACACAGCCAGGGACTCCCAGGAACAGAACTGTGTCCCAACTCCCAGGCCACTGCCCTGCTTGCCCCTTTTACCTCCCCCTTGGACGTCACATGGGGACTGTGCTCTCCTGAGCGCCCCCCAGACCTCCTTGACGGCATCTGCTGTCCTCCCAGCTCCCACCCAGCAACTGGGATGCTTTAAACATGTGGAAACAATGTGAAAGCCAGGGTCAGCCACCCAGAACACACCCTTGCTGGCCAGGTGGTATCGGTGTAACACAATTTCTTCCTGTTTATCATCGAGCTGCTCACCTCGGAGAGACGTGGCAGCCAGGAAGCAAACCGTCACCGCCATCACCACAGGGATGTTTGCTCAGGTTACTAAGACTCGACCTCAAGGTCTTTTCAAAAAGCAAAGGGAGACCCTCGCCACTCTTGCTGAGGGCAGAGGTGTGCGGAGCTGGACATAATGCTGGGGAGGGAATAAGTCAGCTCCAGTTCCTGGTGAGAGAGGACTGCGAGGCTGTTTTGCCAAATGGTTGTCCTTTCTTCCCCACTAACACTTTGTCTCCGTCAGAGGCAGCACTTGCTCCCACAGTCCTGCTGTGAGGAGGAGCAGGTGATCTCCCGAAAAGAAAAGCACTTCTGTCACCTCTGATCCTTTTGACTGCAGAAGACTGGGAGATTTTCACTTTCCCCCATAATTATACCTTTGAGACGCTTCACCTTTTCCCCCAGACCAGACCTGCAGTACTGTTGCTTATTTTCCAGAAAGACTATTTTTTTAGTCAGTCTATCAAAAAATTCCCCTGGCAGGGCATGCTGATGTACACCTGTGGTCCCAGCACTTGGGAGGCTGAGGCAAGAGGATCGTGAGTTTGAGGCCAGCCTAGACTATACATATGAGTTCAAGGCCAGTCTGAACAATACAGTGAGACCCTGTCTCAAAAAAATCATAGCCAACTGTGGTGGTGCATGCCTGTAATCCCAGCACTCAGGAGGCTGAGGCAGGAGGACAGTTGAGAGTTCAAGGCCAGCCTGGGCTACAAAGTGAGCTGAAGGCCAGCTGGAACTGCATAGGGAGACCCTGTCTCAAAAAGACCAAAACAAAAACAAAAACAAAAAAGCCAAAGAAGGAAATTTCCCCCATCGTATCTACATTCACTTTCTGTTTACATACAATCTTAAGCTGCAGTTATCCAAACATGAATTTTCAACAGAAAAATCTAACCCACCTTTGTTCACCACTGTGTATCCAGATTAATGCTGGGCAAGACAGTAGGTGCTCACTAAATCTGCTGACTTATACTAAGCAAAAGTCACTGAAAATCAAACCAATAGGCGGCCAGATATGAAGTTCAGCAGTTCACGGGCTTTCCCCCGGAGGATCTCCAGGCCAATCAGGGTAGGGGTATGCCGCTGTTTATCTCAAGGAACCTAGGGATGATGGAGGTTCCCAAGCGGGGATAAGGTAGGCTTCTCTAATTGCCTGGGAATCTTGAAGACAGCGAGGCTGGGCTCAAGAGAAATCAAAAAGAGGAATGTGCATTGAGTGTTAGAATTCGTTGGCTGTAGTGTGAGGTTGGGGCCACTCTCCAGATTGGGGGGGCTGATAAAAGAGGCTAGAACTGGGGTTTTCCCTTCTTTCCTCACCCTGCAGTATGCTCTTGACTTCTACCTAGGGTAACTGGATACTCAACCTGCCACACCCTCAACTCAGGGCCTGTCTGGGCCCCTAAACTAGCCAGGCCTCCCCGCCTCCCTGTGTAGACAGTAGCATCAGAATCCTTGGAACAGCCCAGCTCCTGCTTCTGGCCCTGGCCCTGGCCCACTCCATGGCCCTGGCCTTCTCATTGTTGGGTTTACCCCACGCCTACTCCCAAACCCTGCTGGTTCATCCCCTGCCTCCACCATCCCTCCTTCCTCTCTACTCTCAAAACCGGTCATCGGCAACCATGTCCTTATCACCCAGCATCTGAAGGATCAACCAGAGCTGCCTGACAGCCTCCTTCGCCTCAGGCCTCTCGCCCCCTTTCACAATCAGAAAGCCAGGTTTATATTCCTTCGGTGCCTTATGATTGTGGCAGAAACCAAGGTTTGGACAGTCTGCTTGCTGTCTGCACTCACCCTCAAAGCCTGACCAGAACTTGGTGCTGGCTGTCTGTCTCCCCTCGGAGTCCTTATCTTCTGGCTACGCAGCCACAGTCCCATGCTTTCAAATTCTTACTCACAACCCTCTTCTTCCCAGAAGCCGCCTAGACAAAGGTGCGCGTCACTGCCCCCAGCGTTTACTTGCTCCCAAGTTACATTCACTACCCGCACTTTCTCACTGGGGTCTTCCCCACAGGACGAGGGCGAACCAACAGGACCGGACACCCAGATCCCATTTTCTTCTCCTTTCTGATCCTTAATTCCCGTCTCCAGGCTCGTGCATCCAGAATGCTTCTCCTGACTCCTCGGCCTGGCCTCTTGTGCCCGCATCATCCCTCCGGCCGGAGGTATGTAGCTCGGCCACTTCCTGCCCGTCCGCCCTTCCTTGCCATTCTGTACAGAGCTGAAGGTGAGGACTGGGCTTCTTCCTTCTTTCAAATCTCTGCCGAGGACGCAGGACTGGACTGGGCCGGGTATAAGAATAACCTGACTCTACAGGGACCTCAGGTACCACGAA